GCTGATTATAAAGTGAAGAGAGTAGCTGAAAAGAGCTAACTAAATCTAATTGATTTCAATCTGGGCAGATCTGCAATGGGAAAATCAGTCCATCAGATCTTCTGGGAGAATAACCATGATATGTGGTAATCAGCTAATTGGTCAATAAAATACATAAACACAGAAATGTCAAACTTCCAATATTTTCCACATTTTACACCTTTACTTTTTTTGCATCTTACATTTGCACAATTTTTTATGTTTTCTTAAGTTAAAAGCTCTAAATTAAACAACAATTCAGTAGTTAGTACTTTTTATGATTGAATGATGGTTTCAAAAATAAAGAAAAGTATTTTAATTTGGAAAGTTAAAATTTCTAAAGAGAACACACTGTATTGAAGTTCAATATATGGAAAAAGTTATTTGGAGAATATCAGTCTTACCTAACAGTTGTTGAAGCTACACCTGTGTCAAGGTCAGTAGCTATAAAGTCTCCCACTTTATAATTTTGTCCCATGTTGCTAGTCACTACATATGTCTTTGAACCTGGACGGAACACTGCGCCTTCAATTACATTTAACACAGTCACAGAGATGGCGGTTGCTGTGAGTTTGTATTGAGACATAACTGAATGATGAAATTCAGCTTTATTTCTGACACCAATACTAAGTTGCAGATTCTTCATATCTTCATAATCTAGGGGCTAGAAATGACAGAGTGAAATAGTTTTACTATAAGGAAAAAACATTTTGGAAGAAAGACAAATCCTTTGATAATAGGCCAGAAAACTCTTACATCTCTTTCTTTAATTAAATATAAATACATATACATACACGCTCTATTCTTTCTTTAATTCAATACAAACACATGAAAATATAGCAAGAAAAAATCCAATTGTCCTAGGTCCTTTGTCAAAACAGTTGGTAATATATGACATGAATTTTAATTATACATCAAGCAAATTAAAAACAAAATATATAGATGCATTTTGTCTTTTGTCTTTTGCATTTTGTAGCAAAAAGACAGTTTATGTTAGCTTCTATCATTTCATTTTTCTCAAAAAGTAGATATAGGGGCACTTGGGTGGCTGAGTTGGTTAAGTGTTCAACTCTTGATTTCAGCTCAGGTCATGATCACATGGTTTGTGGAATTGAGCCCTGCGAACCCCACATGGGGCTCTGCTGTGACTTCACAGGGTCTGCTTGGGATTCTCTCTCTCCCTCTTTCTTTGCCCCTCTCCTTCTTAAGCATACATACTCTCTCTCTCTCAAAAATAAACATTTTTTTAAAGTAGCCTTATTTATTACAAAGTATGGACCAAATATATAGTGCATTCAATCATTTGACTTTTTATCCATAAAGTACTATTTAGAAGAAATTTTATTTCTGTAAATGTGACTTCTTTCAATAAGTCTAGTAATCAAACAGTATAAAAATAATAAAAATCCTTATTTTCTTCAGTATATTCTGGAAAAAATTTATTTCATATTATAAAATAATCAAGTAGTCATTTTCATTATGAAAGTTGGTGTCAATTCACCACTTATGAAATTCACAAACAACTATGCATTATGCCCATAAGTTCCAAGTGTATTTTTCTAAATTTTCATATGGGAGTAATTTAGATGACCATCGATTCATACATCAAACTCTTCACTTAGTGCATTTTTTTTGAATTTGTTTAATGTTTATTTATTTTTGAGAGAGAGAGAGAGAGAGAGAGAGAGAGAGAAAATGAGTGGGAGAGGGGCAGAGAGGGAGGGAGGCACAGAATCTGAAACAGGCTCCAGGCTCTGAGCTGTCAGCACAGCCTGACATGGGGCTCAAACTAGGGAACAGTGAGATCATGACTTAGGCTGAAGTGGGATGCTTAGCCAACTGAGCCACCCAGGCACCCCTCCATTTAGTACAATTTTTAATCCTTGCTATAATGTTGGCTTCATTTGTAATTCCAAGAAAGTCTATAATATCATGTATACATATATATTACACATAATTATAATAAAGTAATTAATATAGGATGTCATGCCTGGAAGAAAAATCAACATTATTCCTATTTTATGGATAGAGATATTGAGGATAAATAGACTAATTTTTAAAAGTAATGTAGTTATTTGGGATGAAAAAGATTAGGACTCATTTTCCCCAGTATGGAATCCTAGATAGAACAGAGGAGACAGGGGCGCCTGGGTGGCGCAGTCGGTTAAGCGTCCG